TTTCTTTCTCCCCTTTCTCATTTTCTCCTTTCTTTATAGGGTTAGGGCAGGAACTTTGGAGTCCACTATGTGATGCTAGACAAGGTCTTTAACTTCCTAAAATCTCAGTTTCCTCATCTGTGAAATAGGCATAAAAATACTTGTGAGAATTAACCTAGATAATAATATAAGGGAAGAGTTTAGCACAGGGCCCAGCACATGGCATGTGCTCTGTAACGGGGAAAGGGGTGATAGTTGTTATTATAATCATGATCGTCCTTGTCATTTTTCCTTCCTTCCAGCATTTATTGGGCTGCCCCTGGGTGTGAGGTAGATAGACATTCCAGTGTCTGTCCTTAGGGCACCCACAGTTATATGGGGTGACACGCTTGCTTCCAGTCTCACTCAGCTGCTTTTAGAGAGGTAAGATTTTGGGGTGGAGTAAGGCTGACAACTGAACAAGAAACCCGGATTTCCAGGTATCAGAAAAGGTCAGGAGTGGAGCCGAGGTTTATATTTTGTGTTTTGATAATAGCATAGCTAATGGGCCTAAAATCCATTTGTCACTTGGGAACTGAGGTTTCCTGGGACCAGGAAACTAGCAACTGCAGAAGCAGAGTTGTTTTCAGTGTCAATATTTGTCACACATGGTGGGTGAACAGTCTCCCAGGTCAGAATCCAGCATCTGGGAAGGGAGGATGGTGGCAGGCAGGGGCTATAGTATAGAAGAGGCAGCTCTCTGAATAGCAGACAAAAGGATTTCGATGGGACTAAGAACAGGAAATATCTTTCCAGTTTCCGCTTAGAGCTTAGGTGGGTGGTGCAAGCAACCTGGAAGATGGAAAGATGAAATAGCCCTGGGGTAATTGAGAGTGGGAGGCCCGAGCTCCCAGCTTTATTCCTTCTAAATCACTGGTTTGCATAATGACGTTGCCGTGAACAGCTTGACATCCTCTTCAGGCTCCCATCTCCTTTCCCCACTGCTCACACTTCACTGCTGGTGGGTGCACCCCATGCAGGCCCCTTTATCTGCATCTTTTGGGGGTGAGCCACACTCATTCACATTTTCAGAGAAACTGCACATTTACTCTGCTAGTTTAAAGAAACTTCCAAATTTAAATTTACCAAGTAGATAAATTTAATTGCGTTCTAGTAAGTCTTCCATTTTACAATGAGTTTAACCATAAGAATCCTTTAACTAGCAGCTTCTACTAGATCATTTAGGGCACAGTTATACCTGAAATGAAGATAAAGCACCTCTGATGTTATAATGACACTCAATGGGAAATACTGTTTGATTCATAAAAAATTGATAATTAAACAATTTTATAAAGCTGTATTAAATATTCATTCATGCAATGAACATACATTGAATGCCTACAATGTGCCAGGAAATGTGAGGTGAATAAGACATAGTCTTTGTTTTTAAGGACATTTCAAGGAACACCAAATCCACACTGATAGTGTGGAATGAGAATTGCTGTGAGGAGGGTAAGCAGCAAACACAGTGAACTCACAGAGGAAGATCCTAATCAAACTAGAGGGGGAACAGTCAGGGAAGGCTTCCTGGAGCAGGCGAAGCTTAAACTATGGAGAGTCAGTGTTTACTAATCAAAGAGGGGCAAGGGCTATCCTGGAAACATCTCACAGGAAAACTGCATGTTCTAGAGCACTCTAGTGGGCAGTGCATGAAGGGTGTGGGCATGTCAGGGAGATAAGGTTAAGATGGAGGGCAGAGGGCAGCCAAGGTCACAAAGGGTTTTTTGTGCCTGACAAGTGAGTCTGAACTTTTCCTAAAGCAGTGGGGGATATTAAATTATTTCAGATGAGGGGACTGAGATGAGCCTTTCTGCATTTTGGAAAGATCATTCTGGCAGCAAGAAGGGTTGATTGGGAAACAGGCAAGAAAGAGGCTAGGGCCTGACGGAGGTATCAGAGGTATAGAGAAGCAGGTTCCAGTACCAGATAAGGTGTTTTAATCCATTTCACGTGTAACCGAGGGGTCTGGATGGGAGGGAGAAAGAAACATCCAAAGGACAACAGAGCAATTATCATGGCTGCCATCAATTGTTTGTTTCCCCTGCACATCGTCCTGCTGTTTGTCCTCCACACATGTGGTGTGGGGTGGATGGCCTGGGAGTGATGAGGCTGGATGCTAGGAGTGACAGCCACAGGACATCCAGGCCACCAGGCCTGAGGGTAGTACCATGAAAACAGTGAGCCCAGAACTGAAGCAGCACAACCAGGAGTCAGTAGATAACAGAACAGGACAGGTAGAGGGACTGTGCCCAAATAGTGGGGGTAGGCTCTTAATGTGGCATTTTTGTTAGAAGACCCAGGAAGACCCTTTGGAAGTGGGACCGGGGATAGAGAAGCAGGCCTCCCCCACCCCCCTTACTGGTTATGCCAAGGGGGATCTTTTCCACAGCCCCCCATGGGCCCTTCCCTGGAGAGCAACCAGCTCTTCCTCCTCTGAAGGAGGCAGCTTCATCTCCTACCTCCTGCCAGATGCATCTCATTCTGAGTTTAGTGACAAATATTGAACTTCGTTTCAGGAGTGTTAATTGGGATTTTTAATTGACCATAAGCAGGTCATCAAAGACTGTCTGTATCTGGCAGTCGTTTGTTCTCCAGGGGACAATCCCTCCTAGAGCGGTGTCGTCAGTCAGCAAGCGGGGTTCCCATGCCCCCCAGTTGCTTCTCTTGTTTTAGTTTCGACTCATTTAAAAATAAAAGAAAATAAAGCAAACTCTGTTCTGTCTTAGAAGGCAGTACCTGAAGCGGTTTAATTACTGGCAGTGAACACTGAATGGCTCCGTCCCTAGTGGCAATCCAGTACTGCACAGTATTGTTAGTACATACTAGAAAGGGCTGCTCTTCTCCTGGCCATTTGGAGAGGAGCTCCTGGCCCGCATTAGGCCCTCTGTTCCCGGCACCCCACATGGCACTGCCCACGTGGCGGCAAGTCTGGCTTAGATCCACCTCTGTTGTAGTTGCCGCTCCAGCGAGGAAGTCTGTGCTCCTTGCTTCTCCATCCTGATCAATGGCATTTAGATATGTCCTGGGAATCTGGTTTGTCATGATTTAGGTATTAGTAATTGATCGTGCAAAGTAGGTCAGTCAATTGCTAGTTGGCCTCACACATCCGATATCAGACCTAATTTTGGCCTTGTGCTCTGAGATGCTGTTTCTCTGAGCTTGGGCTGGAATTGGCCGGGGTACCCTAAAGCTCACAAGGGAGCTGGGGAGAAAGGGCAGTGCGCTGTTATCCAGGGGGCTTCAGATGAAAGCGTTTTATTGGCATGAAGAAGAACAGGAAGTGGGATGGTCTAATCTGATGGAAAGTTGCAGCTGACTTCCACAAATTTGTCTGGGCCTCAGTTTAGTAGCTTTGAGATAGTCTCTGCCCAGCAGAGAAAATGAACTGAGAGACTAGGCTTGAAAGATTTTGAGAAATTTTAGAGCACTATTGTGATGAATAAACTCATTCATTCTTCAAATATTTATTGAGCAGATGCCAGGCACTATTCGAAGCCCCATGGATTCAGTTAAATATGGCCTGGCTTCTAAACTGCTCTCCATCCAACTCATGAGCTCCAAGAGGAACGCCCTCAAGCGTGAGGTCTCACTATTAAGTGCCCTCCTTCCCACCAAAAAACGAACACAGTGGTCCTTGTACACTTTTATGCCTTCCTTTTTGTTACTAACTCTGCACTGTCTATAAACTTAGGCCGCCCTTGTTTTGGTTACCACTCAGCCTCTAGAAGTAAGGTCAAGCCCAGGCGGGAAGTGGGCTTTATTCGAAAGCTGAGTGGGGTATACATGTGTGTGTGGAGTGGGCTGGGGGTCATGTTTAGATACCTTCTGTGTCAGTCTGGGTCCTCCAAGAAGCAGATGTCAGATACAATTAGATGAGCAGCTGACTTATTGGAAGAAAGTTCTGTGGAGTATAAAGAGGACAGGGAGCAGAAGTAAGTGGGAAGAACCCTCGGTCCTGATGCAGGTGTGAAAACTGAGAGGAGAGAGGGAAAGAAGGGAAGACTTGGGCAGGAAGGACTCGGACTGCAGAGCACTTGGAGAAAATCTCGGCAGGCTGCCAGTGAGGGGTCCTGTGCTAGGTGGGGATGGCCCACCTCTGGAGCCTGTGCTGTGCTCTGAAACTGGCTGGGAGCAGCCTACAGAGAGCCTGGTATTGATGTGAAAGCTGCGCTGGGTGTCAAAGGTGCAACTGGTGGAGGCTGGTAGCCAACCACATTCCTCAAAGTGCTGCTCTCGCAAAGGAAGATCTAAGCAGCAGCAAGCTCGCGTGACTGCCACATCTTGTTTCCCCCACTGGATTCCTCCGGCTTCTGGCATCTCTCCTGTTGCCGTAACTCGCACCCCTATGCTCTGGGGTGGCCTCATGGAACCCAAAGCTCTCATCCACTCATCTGGACCTACAGTCTCTTCCCCTAAGCTCATCCTCACCTTCCTCTTCCCATTTGAAACAGAGCCTGTGTTCCTAGCCTCTTCCCTGTATAATAACCTCTCCATATACTGGTCACCAAGATGAGGGCTGTCCCCATAGTTCTCCTTCATGGCCACCTTGGTTAGCGCCTGCCCTTGTTTGCTCAGACGCTCACTGCCTGGTCCCTTCTTCTCGTCAACACTAGGTTCCACCAGGGCCTGCCTTCTCCCATCAAGAGCTGCCTATCTGGTGGCCTTTTCCTCAATGGATGTCCAGGTAGCTATACAGGTTAAGGAATCCAGGCTAGAGTGTTAATGAGTCATAGTGACTTGAATTACCTCTTCCGGGTGACGTTTACACATTGACAGAGATTTTCAGTGAATTATCCCAAAGAGTGTGGTGTTGTGCATAAATGTTCTGTGCTTGGCAAACCTAGAAGGATGGAGTTGGGCAGAAGAATTCCCTTTGCTCTATCAAAGCCCTGCCAGTGAGCTGTCCTGGGGATAAGAGGTGGGGAGTATAGAGGGCAGAGGGTCAAGGTTCTTAAAAAATTATGGTTTGAAAAAAAAATTTAGTCTACGGCCATGCCACCCTGAACGTGCCCGATCTCGTCTGATCTCAGAAGCTAAGCAGGGTTTGGGCCTGGTTAGTACTTGGATGGGAGACCACCTAGGAATACCAGGTGCTGTAGGCATTAAAAAAAAATTCAAAAATAGGTCGAATAAATATTTCTCCAAAGGAGATATAAAAATGGCCAATAAGCACATGAAAAACTGATCAACATCACTAATCATTAGGGAAATGCAAGTCAAAACCACAATGAGATACCACCTCATTGGATGACAACTATCAAAAAAAATCAGATAATAACAAGCATTGACAAGCATATAGAGAAATTGGAACCCTCGGGCACTGTTGGAGAGGACGTGCAATGTGCAGCCTCTATGGAAAATAGTATGTGGTACCTCAAAAAATTAAAAATAGGATTACCATATGATCCAGCAATTCCACTTTTGAGTATTTACCCGAAAGCATTGAAAGGTAGGTCCCAAAGATATATTCGATCATAGCGACACTATTCACAACAGCCAAAAGGTGAAAGCAGCCCATGTGTCCTTTGACAGGTGAATGGATAAACAGAAGGTAATCTATACACACAATGGAATGTTATCCAGCCTTAAAGTGAAGGAAATTCTGATATGTGCTTCAACATGGATGAACATTGAGGACATTATGCTGAAATAAGCCAGTCACAAAAGGACAAATTTTGTAATATTCTGCTTTTTTGAGGTACCTAGAGTATTTAAATGTATAGAGACAGAAAGTAGAATGGGGGTTGCTAGGAGTGAAGAGAAGATGGGAAATGGCGAGTTTTTGTTTAATGGATATGGTTTCAGTTTTGGAAGATGGAAAAGTTGGAGAGATGAATGGCGGTGATGCTTGCTGAAGAATGTGAGTGTATGTGATAACACTAAACTATACACTTAAAATGGTTAAGATGGTAAATTTTATGTTATGTGTATTTTACCACAGTAAAAATAAAATTGGGAGAAAAATTATGATTTAATCTAAGAGAAGAGAAGGACAAGTAGATCGACCCCAGGTTTGCCTGAGAATCTCTACTTTGCATCTTCCAATCAGGGTATACGACCAGACAGGACCAAAGTCTTGAACATGGGTTAGAGACCAGAAGGGGGCTGCCGAAGGGGTCCCTTCAGAAAAGTAGCGATGCAAAGGCAGGCAGCAAGGTGAAGAGGGGCTGAGCACAAGAACGGGAGTCATCCAAACCACGGTTTGACCTCAGTGCTGCCAACTCAGTGCTATGTGACTTGGGACAAGTGATTTACCCTCTTCGAGCCTTTGTTTCCTTATTGATAAAATGGGGGTGACAATGCTTACAGCATCGGAGCTGCTTTGAAGCTAAATATAACCTGTCTGTGATGCACATAAGGAGGTTTCTAGCAAATAGAAAGCTCCTGTGTTCGTCCCTGAAGTTTCTGGGAGGCGATGGGGTTTCCAGGCTGTTTAAATGCCAGGAGCTGTCTTGGACGACAAGGAAGGTTGTACTATTAATGGGCGAACATGCAAGATGTCCTTTTCCATGTGATGTTGAGCAAGAATTTAACATGTTGGAAGAGAGCTGAATAGTGACCATTAAGCTCTTGGTGATAAAGATGGTAGATTAGCATTTCTAGCCCCCATGTGAGTCCAGGTAACTTTGAAAGGAAAGTAATAAGTGTTTGGGAGCCTCTGCTTTGTGCTGCGCACTGTGCTAAGTGCTGGGGTAGCACAGACTGGAGGAGATGGGTGCTGCCCAGCTGCTATTCCCAGGCCAGGTGGTGAGATGAGTGTGAGATGGAGTAGCCAACAGCTCGGCCTGGAGGGCTTCTGGGAACATAGAAGCAGCCTGTCCTGGGAAGATGGTGTACTATCGATGGGTGGCCAAAACCGAAACAGGCAGAACTCCCTAACTTCCATTTTTCTTTAGTAAATAATCTTCAAATAACACATTATAAATGTATGATTTCCAGCCTGAGCTGCGACCTCGGAAATTCTTTTCTTCAATCCCTACTTCATATTTCTCAACCCCATTCCAAGCCTTTCTTTCCCTCAATACTCCAAGCTATCTGTGCCTCTCTCAGCAAAAACACTAAAAAACACTACTCTAAGAAAACTGAAAAGAGAAAGCCCACCAGGTGTGGACCAGCTCAGCTCTCTTGTCTGTCATCTCCAACGTAGCCTATCTGTCTGAAAAATAGATGTAGTCAGACCCTGGGGTAACTTTCTTGCCTCCATCTCTCCATTTCATCTAGGACTTTATTGTTAGAGATCAGTCTTTCACCTTTCCATCCTCGCTTTCCTTTTCCCTTCAGCTTTCAACCATGTTTGAAGTTCCATAAAAAAATTTTTTTTTAAAAAAAATTTATTCTTTTTTTTCAAGCTATTCTGCTATTACCTTTTTTCACTAAACCTCCAAATTTCCAGTGGTTTTGCTAACTTTTATTGAGCATCTACTATATGATCTAAGTGCTTTACTTATATTATCATTTAATCCTAGCAACAACCTACAAGGTAGGTCTTGTTACTATCCCCACTTTATAGTTGCAGAAACTGAAGCTCAGTGAATTAATCACTTACCCGGTATGCCATGGTTGGTAAGTGGTGGAGCCAGGCTTTAAACCTAGGTTCATTACAACTACCCAGTCCTCCAACCATGAAAGAATTCTCTTGGTCACCCCCAACGTCTCCTTCAATGCCACTTCCTGTGGTCCTCATCCTCCAGATCTCTCTGTACCCCATCAACACTGTAGCATATGACACTTGCTCCCCTTGTTCCCCTTTGCACAAATGCTTAGGTGGTCTTTAGTAGCTCTTCTTTTTCTGCCCACCCCCTACATGTTGGTTTCTCCCCAGGCTCTGTCCTTAGCCCTCTCATCTTGATCTATATGTGCTCTCTGAGTGAGTTTATGCACTCCTGATTTCAGTCATCCCCTGGACACTGATGACTCCAAAACATATTTTTGAAGCCCCTACCATGCTCAACATGGCTCTGATTTTCTTCACTTCCAATCTGTCCATGCTCCTTTATGCTTGAGATCAGTTAGCAAAACCATCGCCTGCCTAGTCATTTAAGCTAGAAACCATGGAAAACATCATCTATGATGTCTTTCTCTCATCCTAAAACCTAATGGATAACCAAATCCTCTTGAGTCTGCCTTTAAAACAGCTATGGACTCTATTTCCTTTTATTCTTGCTGTCACTGCTGTGGTTTAGGACCTTGTAATAATTCCCCTGACCTTTTTATTGTCTTGCTTCTGGTATCTTCCCCTCTAATCTATCCTCAACACAGCTGCCAGATATCTTTTTAGAGCCCAGGCTGTCATTGTGCTATAAACATTCCCTGTCTTCCAATTATCTAGAAGCCAAAGTTCAAGTCCTTACAGGCCTTCAAGGCCACCCACAACCTGGCTGCAGTGCACTTCCGGCCTCATCTTCCACGACACACCCCACTTACCACCTACTTGTACCAGACCTCATTCATACTAGCTACTCACGAGTCCCTGGAAGTAAACCATACATCCGTGCCTGCATCACAGAGCAGGCAGTTTGTGCTCTCTCTGTTCTATGATGCTTTTCTCATCCAGAATGGATGACTCTCTCCTCCTCAAACTTAGTTCAAATCACCAACGCGGCACTTCCCATACCATATTATGGTAAGTTGTTCGAGTGTATGCATCTTGGCCAGATGGGACAAGAGACCTTGCTTTTATCCACTGTGGTTCTCCAGGGCCCAGCACTGCTGTGAAAGTAGATGGCACTCTTTAGGTACTCTATAAATGTTAGTTTCCCTTTGTTTTGAGACATAAACAGAAGAGATGCCCGGAGACTATAGATGGGAAATATATCATAATTTTCAAAAAAATGGGAAAATATAGAGACTAAAAATGACAGGGGGAGAGAAACCCCTACTTCCACACTAAGCCACACTGAATTTCGAAAAGTACACATGGTTGTTAAGAATCAGCTTGTGTTCACTCAAAATAAGTCACATCAAAAACTCATCTCCTGTTTGCGTAAGGACACTGGACTGGTAGGAGAAGAGAACATTATAACCATAAGATATCTTGATTTGAATAAGGCTTTTGACAAAGTCTCTCACTGTGTTCTTGTCGGCGAGGCTGAAAAACATGGTTGCAGGGTAATCGTTGATCCAGATGAGAATGTTGAGCCAGAAGAGAATTTGGGGCCGGCCATCCAAGTTCACCCTCTCTCATTACAGGTAAAGAAACTGAGACCCCAAAGGCTAGTTTTTCTAAAGAAACACAGCTTATTAGTAACACAACAGGGCCCATGGTCTACTTCTCCCAGCCGGCGCTGACACAAGGCTTTTCCTAGAGTCCATTGGTCTGTAGCCCACTGAACAATCATGCCCAAAGAAAGCTTTCTAACAGGCTGACGTCTACCTGACGGGAGATGTCAGATGGTGTGCTGCAGGGTTTAAGCCTTGACCTTGCCCATTAAGTAATTTATCAGTAATTCATCAAGCTTCAAGTAAAATCTAGAAGGTATGTTTTTCAAATAAGTGAATGAGGCAGATGCAAAAGGAGTGGCTGATGTGTGGGACTCCGGAATCAGGATCCAAGATGCCCTTTTGGCTGGAATCATGGGCTGAAAGTAAAGAGAAGAAGCTTAACAGGAATAAATGGAAAGTCTTGCACTGAGGTTTCCAAAAAATCAATTCCATAAGTACAGGCTGGGGAAAACTTGACTTGATGTAGGTTCAGGTAGTAAAGGCCTATGTGTTTGAGTTACTAATAGAGGATCCTAGGGCTCTTTGGCTGTTAAAATAGCCACAGCAAGTTGCTGAAAGATGTTCTTGTTCTGAATTAATAAAAGCTAGATGTCAAAGCAGAGGCCGTAATGCTTCTGCTGGACTCTATGCTGGTCAGACCACATCAGAGCCGGGCCTCCAATTCTGAGCATCACACTTTTGGAGGGATTTTGACGGACTGAGCATGTTGGAGGCAGACCCTCAGGATAGTGATGAGTCTGGAGATCCTGTCCAATGAGGAACACTTGGGAAAATGAGAGCCCTTAGTCTAAAGAGAACTCTAAAGATAGTTGCGATGTAGCAGGGGAAGTAGACTGGCTCCATGAGTTCCAGAGGGCAGAACTTGGGAGCTATAGGTCAG